ATGTTACAGATAAATAAGATTTTCTCGGCTCTGATTGGTTGTTTTCGTTCAGGCCCGGTGGATTCGTATAAATGATATTTGGAGCACTAGGAGGAGCCAGAGAAACTTATTTGTCAGGATATAGTGAAAGTTTCAGCAAATATAACAAAATGTTACTTTTATAAAAATTCCCAAGTGCAGCTTTAAGCTACATCATGAGCAACATATAGCAAAAGATGTTTGTTACCTTTGTGTTATCAAACACAAACTCTTTTCGCAAAATCTTCTCTTTCTCTGTCTCCACCATGATGTGAAGTTTTCCGAGCAGTTTCTGGGATTTCACCAACTGCAGGACTAAAAGAGATAAACACAGTACTTGGTATAAAAATGAGCAGTGTTGATGGTTTACAGTCTTTACATTAAAGATTGGGTCTACAGCCTTGCTAGTGGCTCTGTTAAGGTATTCTTAGGAGCAGTGGTACTTTAAACTACATGCTAATGTCAGCGTGCTAACATGCTCACAATGACAATAAATGCTGATGTTTGACTAGTATAATGTTTATCATGTTCACCATCTTGGTTGTGTTAGCAGCTAACCGTTGCTGATTAGCACTAAACACAAAGTACAGAAACTGTGACCTGATCATGATTCTAGATGAATCATCAATTATTATAACTCATCTTGAGGGAGAAATGAATGTCTCTACCAAATGTTATGGCAATCCATCCAATACTTGTCAAGACATTTAAGTAAAAAACAAAAATGACAGCTTCATGGTGCCCTTAAGCAACTGTCAGGGGATCACCAAAGGCAGTGTGATCATGGGATCATGGCAATTCATTCAATAATTGTTGAGATATTTCAGTCTGGACCAAAGTGGTGGACCGAGCAACTGACCACTGCTAGGGCCACAGCTAAAAATACAAAGGAACAGAGCGATGTGATTTCTTACTTTTGTTGTGTACAAAGTATTTGTCTTCAGGCCCATCTTTGGACTTCTTGAAGTAGAGCTTCCCACTTTCAACATCCACTTTCAGGAACATCTTGGTGGAAATACCCAGAGAATCTTGCTTGACCTGCAAGTTAAAGAAGACACTAATCAAATAACCCCCAGATGTTTTATATAATTTCAAACATTTAATTTTCCTGTATTGTTATGCAGTAATGCACCTCGAACGTAACAACAGGTATGAGAGAATTCCTGTGGCCGCCTTCAAATCCAACAGACTCAAACATAGAACTTCTAGCCTGAAAAAAGAAATGGAGAAGTGCTTTGTCATCCATGACTGACATCATCTGTTGTCATGTCAATAACCAAGATTGTTCATGGTCTAAAATGAGCCACGGTACTTTACCTTATCTTCTATTGAGTAGAGCAGTTTTGTCAGGTGCTCAAGCCTTGAGGAAAAAGATTGACTAGCATCTGTAGACATCTGAAAATAAAGATAATAATTCACGATAAACTTTTTTTGTGTGAGTTGATAATGCTGCAAAGAATCAAGGGTGCCACCCACTTGTTTTGTAAATTGTCCAATCCCTGGGGAGAGCTGTTGGTCCAGCACTCTGTGAAAGACCTCCAGGGCTGGCAAGATGCGGGAAATTTCACTGTCTCACAAAAAAAGATCAGAGCACGGTTAAAACAGAGCTATACATTGTAGTCTATATGATATATTCTGTTGACTGGTAGCTATACCTGTTGAGATTTTTGCAGATTGCCTGTGTTAGCTTCTTTAGCCCGGGGAGGTAAGGATAACCATTCTGTAGATGTTCAGCGTCCGAGCAGACTAAGTTCCTGAAGTAGTCCTGGATAGCCATTTGATGCTCCTCAGGTATTCTGGAAATAAACACAGGAGCACTTTAAACACACATTTCACACATCAGCTTCATCCAAGCACACCAATGTGTCGAATCACTGCCCCTAATTGTAGGCATTATTGCATTGTACACAGTGTATCCTGCCAGCGTATTATTATCAGAGACATTGCATGATGAAATATGTGGCTGAGGACCATACGTGGACAAGTCCATATTCTGCAGTCTCATCAGGAAGGTGTCTGATAAGTTCTTGCAGGGCTGTTCACTGTCTTTCACATCAAAATTCCTGGGTGGAAGCTGCGGTGGAAGAATATTGGATTCTGTAGGACAAAGACAATATTTTCAGGAATTGTTTTATTTTTGACCGACACGTATTCTTTTTTAACATTATAGCCACTGCTCAGATGAAGTTGTTTGACCTGGCTCCTCGTCTACCTCCTCCTCTCTTTGGACAGGGTACTGCAAGTGTGTGACCAGCCCCATGTTGGGACTGTAATATGCCTCCACCAGCTCAGGCAGCATAGAGAAGAACCTGATGGGAACTCCTTCAGATGCCTGAAGAGCAGATCACATCAGACACATCATTCTTCTCAGACCACAGCAGAACTAAAATATCATGCAGCCCTATTGCCTTGTCTGGTGACACAATTACTTCCCATGTGATGTCAGATATGTCTACTTGCACCGTCTGTGGCTTCTTCCAGCAGACAACAGCTGCGTTCATGTTATCAGCTAAGTTCCTCAAACAGTTGTATAGAGCAGTCTTAAGAGTTTCTTATGTGCATCTTATTCAAAAGAATATATAATTCCCCATACGTTCCCTTGATTTTTTGTCATGAACTAAAATGGTTACATTTAAAGAATTGCTGCTATTTTACACCCAAACATTAAGAACATAAAACCACAAATCTAACCCAGTGCGAGAGACTGAATGTACCTACAGGTCATGAAAATTCAGCTGCTGAACCTGATTGCCTCTGGTATTAAATCCTGTACTTGTCACACAGAATATTTAAGTTGTGTTGGACATTTTAGTGCCTTTATTTTGTTTGTATTTATCTTACAATATCGCATTGATCCTTAGTTTCAAACACACAAATGTTTAACCTATTTTATTATGTAATACCCTGTGTTTAGACCATTTATAGACAGTAGATTTCACAGGTACAAACAGGAACCAGCAGCTTTCTAAACAAACTAGACCACATATTATACATATACATACACAGCTGCACATTCTTGCCTTTACTTATAGCTTGTTTGGGCAGGAAACAGGTCTATTTTGTCCCTTCTAATAAGTACACCACGAGTGCTTACATGAATTAGAAACTGACAGTACTGATTTATTATCACGTCGGAGAGAAATCTAACACACTGGTACTCCATCCCTGTGAATACTCGTCCAATTCAAGCACTGGCTCAGCACAATTTACCATTTTGGAACCACAAGTGCAGTTGCTGTATTATATAAGCATGGTTTTCATAAAAAACGTAAAAATGTCTCAAATAATAAATGTGCATATTACCATATTATTTCACTTTTTTTCTTTAATTAATTCTATGCTGATGATAACTGTATCTGGCTATACTGACTCACAAGCGCAAGCTCCTTTCACTTCCTCTAGGTGGATGTAATTCTTTTTTTTTTTATGTTTTACAACATAACTATCACTGCAGCTGCAATGGCCATCCATCAGTCTAGACTGACTGCAAAACATGAGTAAAGCTTTTAGCTTTTATTTTGCAGTAAAGCCACAATATATGTTCTGAAAGCCTATTCTGTGGAGGCAAAGCCTGACACTGACACACTATCCTCAAATTTCGTCAAGTTAGCAATAATAAATATGCAACGGTCAGTTAGACTTTCAAAATAAAGATTAATGAGAAACATTTCAGGTGACATCGCAGTTTGTTTAGGTTTAGGCACCAAAACTTCCTGGTTAGGGAAAAGATCATGGTTGTTGTGTAATACACACACTGGTCCATTGTGTACTTTTCATGCCTAGGCAAGGAAAAACGAGATATTGACACAGTGTAACTGCAGGAAGAGTTTTATGGATTTTTGTTTTCGGGATAACGGGCTATTGCAGACATGGGCTTTTTTATTACTATCACGGTTTTGAAAAAAGGGGCTGTAAGAACAATGGCATGGCAGCTACCTACAGTATTTTATATAACTTTAAATGTCCATAAGTCACAGAAGTCGAGTTTGGGTCTAATGGAGGGATGTGACTTGAGAGGTCTTGCCATTTGAAAGTGGGTTGGGATAGAGGTTTGCAAAAGAGCTTTATTGCAATGGCCACCAGTGTTATTTACTAAATCCATATAATAAGATAATACTATGAACACAAGATTTCAATGTTGAATTTGATTTAAAAGCTCCTGTTTTGATAAAATGTGACTGATTCAACAATAAGACTAAAGGGCCGGCCACATTAAAAACAGTAACTATAACAATAGTGATGTGAGCATTCACACTGATGAACGATAACATTGTGTAAACAGTGGCCCTAAAACACTGCACACTGCAGCTGTGTCGACAGTTTAATAGTAAAATGTATATTGATTAATGTTGAATGTAGCACAAAGAAACAAACAGAAAGCCCGGAGGATATGGGTAGTATGTCTCAGGTAAAATTATGTTTTTTATGTGTATTTTGCAGCCTAAAATTGTTATACAAAGTTGTATACCACAGTATCGTTCATCAAATAGCCCTGAAAGTGATCCCAACAAAATCGTTTTCTACTGTTGTTGTCGTTATAGTTGTCATGAGTGAGTTAGAAAGATTTTAACGGATATATTTATAGTTATTGTTATAATTATAATTACCAACATGTTTGACTCAATGAACGTCCAAACAACAGGCAACCAACAGACATTGCTCTCACTGGAGCCATGCCACTATGGTTAAAACATAAATAAACTTCCCATATGCTGTAAATAATTAACATTAACAATTCTACTACCATAATAATTCATCTGACATCATACCAAAATGGTGGCTTGTGTGAAACTGTCAACCCACCTGTACAGAGAGCTTCTTATCCTCATTTGGCAGGATTCTGTATGTGTACACACAGTTCTGGAACCTGTGGTTAAAATAAATAAATGCAAATGTCTGTCACTGGAATATGACATGAAGGTAGGGTAACGGAACATGCTACCTGATGTAATCAGTATGTTCAGGATGCAATCAGAACACACTAGGTAGCATTTTGCAAATTGCTCCATGAAAGCTCATATGAGCTGCAGAGGGCAAAGGGTGTTGCTGTGTAGCAGCACAGTATGCAAATAAAGGGGAACTAGTCTTGCATTGCTATGCGTGTGTGAAAAAAAATACACATTTGAACTTTGAATTACATTACATTAAATATGCCCAAATGATGATGCTTTTTCTTAGACCTGATGCCATAAACATTCAGAATAACAGCCATAGCATGTCAGTTTTTCCTCCATTAATTTGGATCATACACAGCGCATATTGCATGTTATTAAGGCTTTTTGAACAAGGAACAAGAATCATTGTCCACTCTACATCAATGCAATAGTTACAAACAAGTAATGTGTACTTACAAAACACAGAGGGCATACGCTCCCTGTATGGACTCACTGGCCCGGATAAGGAAGCTTCCATCTCTTGCTGCTTTGGAGAGTAGATCCTCAGCTTTGGATCGAGTTATATTACCATGGCACCAAGGTTGATAACTTGGCATCCTGTTTCTCACACAAGAGTCTGAGACTCAAGAGTTGCGCATCTGCTCTCAAACTATATTCCAGCAAACTAAAGTAGACTCAGTTTTTATTTCTCGCCATTTTCATCTTTTCATGGTGCGTACTTTTAAGTCCTTTCTTTTACTTGTTCATTCTCTGCCTCTGAAAGCTGTAAAAGGAAGCTGCTATAACCACGGCTCTGAACTTCCTCATTTGAGTTAAGTTAAAAGAGGAGGGCCCTGGTGCCTCTGCTCTGCCTGCTTTATGACAGGTCCACAGTGCTGTAAATAGAAATACAGACTTTCGCTTGCTGAGTACAAATCTTTTTCACATTACTTTAATGATTAACAAGAATTCCTTTTTAAGTTTTCATATACCCACTTGTTAATGTGAACTGTCCAGAGAAGAGTGAAGCCATTTGTAAAAACTTCAGTTGAAAGAAGTAAAAAAGGGAAGTAACAAAAAAGACAAATATGATTACTGGTAAATTTGCTTGTGAATAAACATATATAGTATATATATGAGAAGCCTAATTTAGGTTCCCAGATTAATTTGTTAATGCTACAATCATCTCTGTCCTTTGATCAAGAATACAACAATCACTCATATTTACCCAGAAGACCCAACCTGAGTCTGACTACTAACTGTTTAATTGTCTAATTTGAATCAGGAGAGCTAGGTGTGTTCTGACAGGAAATATAAGTTTAGAATGGCTTGCCATGTTCATGTCATGTGATGGACAGGAAGTCTTGCAGAAATAAGAGGAGGAAAAAAACTCGCTCACAAACCACAACATGACGTGTCACATGACATAAAAAGAGAACTACACAGTGACAAGTCACTGCAGCCTCGGAGGTTTCTGCCCTGCACTTGATATAGGTTTCCCACTTTCACAGAGAGGATGTCAAATTCTCAGACCTGACAGTTAGACAGACACATCATCTCATGCAGAGGACATGAAATCATACTTTTGCTTTCAAGTGACAACAATTGAAATGTTAAGTTAACACAGACTTTTTATATGACAGCAATTATATTTTGATACAAAAGAGAAATAAAGAAAGAATTGTGAGTTAGTTGTTAACATAATATGCTGGTGAGTTTTTATGAGAGTTTTCCTCAGCAGAGTGACTTTGCAATTATAATAACAAGTTTATTGTTAAAAACATGAAGTCACAAGGAACATTTATAACACATCTTACTCACATCTGTGTGAATAATGTCTTTCCATCTAAAATATCACTTTTTTTGTAGATGACATTTAGACAATCTGACTCATATGCAGTAGTGCAATACTAATGTACTAAATGTGGACACAACAATAGATGCATAGCATAGAAGGATTTAGGGAACTGGATAATGATGAATATATGTACAATGAAGATTTGTCTAGCACAAGCAAAGTAAACATGGTACTGGTGTTGTCCAGCTATTTAAAAAAAGTAACAGAAAATTCATTTCTAAGTGGTTTTAAAGGACCAGTGTGTAACATTTAGGAGGATCTATTGGCAGAAATGATATATAATATTCACAGGTATATTTTCATTAGTGTATAATCAAATGAAAATAAGAATCATTGTGTTTTCGTTCAGAACAGACAAACCAAACACAGGCTCTAAATAGGGCCTTTTCGAGAGTTTCGTGGCCACCATAGTTTCTCCTACGCACTTGGTTGATGCGAGCAGTTTCAACTGGTTGCAATCTGCAACTTCACTGCTAGATGCCATTAAATCCTACATACTGGTCCTTTAAAAATATACCTCATATTAAAACAAGAGAGTCTACAGTTATGCTTGCAGCTCTGCAAGGTTTTATTTGGCACAGTGGTGCTTTGAGCTAAATGCTAACATTAACATGCTAACATGTCATTGTGAGCTATGTTGAGCAGGTATAATGTTTACCATGTTCATCATCTTAGCTCAGGCATGTAAACATTTGCTGATTACCACTAAAAACAAAGCCCAGGCGAGCCTGATTGGTTCTGCAGGTACATGGTCATAAAAGTACAATAACATTTTGAGGGGAACATGAATGTTGCTACTAAGAGATATTTCAGTCTTGACCCAGTGGTGGCCCAACGACAGACCATCCCTGAGAGCATTGCTGCTAGTGTGGCTACAAACAATGTACCATTACAGCAACGGGATGTGCCTATACTTCAGAGCATGTCACAGTTATCTACCATGCACACCATCATAGTTTAGTGCATTAGCATGCAAACAGTTACTAATTAACACTAAACACAACATACAATTTGATCTATTGACATTGCAATTTGCAGAGCCAGGACCGTTAGCATAGCTAAAAACACCTTAGATTTAAAAAAATAAAAATAAAAAAGATATTAAAAGCTAACTATTTATTACATTTGGCATATGATACAAATCAGTAACAGGAAATATACATTAAAAGCTGACTATGCACATATTTGATCATTTGGTGTTTAACACACAACTCACTTTCCAACATCAGCAGGAAGCTTGTGGACTGAACAACTTAATTCTGTCGAGGTCACACGCTGCTGGAGCCTTTCTCTCTCATGTCTAGGACAAATGTTCTGGGCCTTTTTCGACAAATGTTTTCTGCGGAGGAAGACTGTTGATGGCAGCAGTTGGCAGAACCAGTAGAAAAAACATTTAAGCCCAGTTCCAACATCCACCCTTATGACTTAAAGACATCATCATAGCTATGTATCCAAATGTATTGCAAATCTTTACCAAAATTTTAGTTAATCGACAAAAGAAGATGCAAACAAATATCCATCTAACTGTTATGTGATTAGGAGAGAGTTGGTTCATCAAGATAGGAGATGGCAGAAGAAGAGGGTACAACAAGATGACATAATTAACAGAGTGCCTCAAGAGTTGAACCTCAAACGATGAAAAACAATGCAGAAAACAGGATGGAAATTAGACATTTCTATTAGTTTCATCTAACAATGCAAGGAAGGTTACATCAGAGCTGTGTGGAGCGATTATCGATGTATAGAGCCATGGGAGCCATGAGGAGACGGAGCGGAAACAATATAAGCTGTAAATTAAATGTTCATTATGTCAGATATTTCCATCCATATTCCATCTCCCATGAAGCACAACACTTTTTTCATAAAAGGCAAAAACCACCTCAAGTGTGTGCTAAGTTTTTTTTTTGCTAAATGTTGTTGCTGTTTACATCAACCTTTTCTAATGCAATACACTAAAAACCAGCTAGTGTCAATGAGTTTGATGGCTTTGATGGCTAGTGTTTGAGGGTTCTCTGGCTGACTTAGTGAATTCTTTATGCACACTTTATTAAGTCAGCAACTCTACAGACTGCTCATGGGAATAACCCACATTGTCTGCAAAACTAATGGCAATGACATTTCAGAAGCACAAAAAAGGAAACGCAAGCAAAACATGGAAGGAGGTGAAGGAGTGACTTACGGGATTACTTGTTTGTCTTAAGGTGGCATGATAGTGACCTCTATGTATGTAAAACTGTTCCAAAATTACCACTTAGCAATAAACATTAATTCCAATCCATTACATTAAATATCGAATATGAGTCTCACACTTTACTGTAAACTTTACTTGTCAGTTACTGTGTGAGGGTTCAGTGAATTGGGCATAGGGTGGACACTGGAACTGGGCCTTAAATTCAAGGAAAGGGGGCTGCAGTGGAATATCAAGCAAATAACAGTCAATTTTTGTTTTAAAGGCATCTATATCAAATAATGCTCCAGATCAAGTTCAAATTTCTCTTTTTCAAAACTCAGACTTGGCACTCAAAGAGCTCTCGTGTGTTCCCTTTAACTCTCCGCTGGTGGCTCCTGACACCCCGGCCTTATCTTTGCAAAACAGTCGCATTAGAGTGCCACGGAACTTCTCCGCCCCAAACAGGTAGATCAGCGGGTCCATAGCACCGTTCAGGCAGGTGAGGGAGGAGGTCAGGCGGTTGGCCAAGCTCAAGCCTCTGCGTGTCTGGCAGGAGACATCGGGATGGCTGTAGCCCAGGATGAAAGTGGCCCTGCTTACATGATAAGGCAGGAAACAGACTACGTAGATGAGCATGACCAGGCCGATGGTACGCAGGGCCTTTAGCTTGAGGGCCGGCTCTAATCTGGAGCCCCGATGCAGGCTGTAAATGATGAGCAGGTAACAGGACAGGGTGGCGAGGAAAGGTGGAGTGAAGGCCACAGCCAGTGAGATCAGTGCATTGCGTGAGGCCTTCTCTCTGTAGAGCTGCAAGCACACTGTCATGCCTTCCACCTCTGCAGTCTGGTGGGTGATCAGCAGCGGTGCCATGGAGACAGTGACCAGGGCCCACAGAGAGAAGCTGATTATGTGAGCGTAGCGAGCTCGGCGAACCTTCAGTGACCTCACAGCGTGAACCACAGCCAGGTACCGATCCCCTGCTACACAGGCCAGGAAGTACAAGCTAGCATACATGTTGACATAAAACAAAAAGCCTGCCACCCTGCAGGGCACCTCGCCGAAGGGCCAGTGGCCTCCAGTGAGGTGGTAGGTGGCCCTCAGTGGGAGGATGATCACGTACGATAAGTCTGCCACAGCCAGGTGAATCAAAAATATGTTCGCTGGAGAGGAAGAGCCACGCTGGTGAGCGAAGATCCAAAGAGCCAGGCTGTTACCGTTCAGCGCCAGGAAGAAAACCAGGATGTAGAAGCATCCAAACAGTGTGTTTTCAACTGTTGTGTCCACTACTGCACAGCTCTCTGACGACTGATTGGATAGCAGGGAGGGCAGCGCCGCTGTAGCAGACTCCATTTTGGTGGCTGAGGAGAGAAATTAATTTTCAGGTATAAATAGAAACATTTCTCATCTTTGGAATGATTTTTATCTTAATAAAGTAATGTATGTATGTTTTCAGGATGGATAAAACATTGTATTTTCTTTGCTGGTTACAGTTCAGGTCTGATTTTCACATCTCTGACTATGAGTCATGACTTTTCTAAACAAGTGCAAGTGATTTCTGACATAGTTTATTGTTAGTATTCAGACAGCAAACTACCCCAGAGACAGGAAACCACACCAGCTCCAACCCCTGTCCACACTACTCTCTTCACACACAAACACATACTGACAATAGGCAGGGAGAGTTTTTGTCACAGTGCCAGTCTCACAAGGTAACAACAGATGTCAGTGTCCCTGGCTAATGCCCTCAGAGCATATGATTACTTCATTCTGACCACGACAAGTTTTAG